AGAATATAGTATAAAGAATTTATCAAAAATTAATAACTCCTATACAAAACTATACTATAGTCAATTTTCAATTCAAAAGCAATTTTATATCAAGCAAAAATATTTAAGTTTTCAATAAAAACTAATTATCAGAAGAAGATAAAAATATTGCATAATTAAGAATTAAATAATTTTGTAAATTTTTAATAAATAACTGAGCTATATTTTTTTTAAAAATATATTAACTAACTATTACTTAATGAAACATTTTATTTATTATTTAGTTTAAAGTAATATATAGTGTAAAATCTAATTTTGAAAAAATCTTTACTTTTTACTTTATATATTCTCATTAAAGAATCAGCTTATTAGCTTTTTGTATATTTTATTAATTAATAAGCTGCAAGTAATTACATAAGATTAGTCAATAACATCTTATATAATTTCTGATTTTTGAATTGGATCTAATTTTTTTTGTTGTAATAATGGTTATTTTAGCCTTTTAATAAAAATATAATACACAATATTAAAAATTAGAGATTTTTTAAAATTTGAACATATTAAATTAAACAATTAATAAAACTATTTCATTAATATAATAGATGACTAAAATGTTTTTAATAAAATATGACTCAGTTACAAATGAAAATTTACTTAATATCTTATTCTTAATTATGTAATATTTATATCACCCTCTAATTTATTACTAGGTTAGATATTATTTATTAAATTTTATTTTTATTTATTTGATTAAAGATAAAATATAATATATAACTAATCAATTATGATAATAAATAGTTTTTTAAAGTAAAAGATACAATAACTAGGTGGATTAAACATTCTCTTCAAATTCTCTAGCATTTATATTTAAAAACAAGTAAAGTTATCCCACTACTAATTTAGAATAATTAATCAACATATGATTATTTAAAGCAATAAAGTTATATATTTTAAAATCAAATTTAGATTTATTTAGTAAAAAACTTAAAAAGTTTTTTTTTATGATTTATTACTTGATAATAAAAAGAATGTAATTAAATAAGGATTAAGATTTATTTAAATAGATTAGTAAAATATTTATATATGATTTCTATGTCTGTTATTAATAAATATAAGATAAAGTATAATTTTTTAAAATAAGGTAGTAATTCAATAATAAATTATTATATAAAATTATAAAAGTATTATGATAAGAATAGTTTAAAAGATAACTTTATTTAGTGATTATCTTCTAAAAATAAATTAGAAGTTGAGAAGTATAGAATATATCTTCCTTTAAATGGGTTAATGAAAAGGTTAGATATATTAGAAAAACTTATCAATTAATTTATTTATTTTATTTAAAGCAAAATATATCTTATATAAAAATATTATAAAAATGGTAACTGATCAAAAACATTTATTTGATAGTATACTTAGGGGAATGACACATATTACGTCATTATATATTACTATATTACTTTTCTACCCTTCTTCCCTGTGAGACTTATTGTTTATGTGATTATATAAATAGCCAATAATCAATAAATACTATTTGAATATTATAAAAAAAGCATTTATTTAAATTCTAAATAAATCTAATATAAAAGTAAAAGTTAGTAATAAAAAACTTTCATAATTACTTGCATGTGACTCATAATAGCTAATCGCTAAATTAAATTTTATTGCATCTGCATAATTACGTCTTTAATCATCTCAATTTCTTTATCCAAAACTTTTCAACATGCAGGCTTTCCTAACTACACTAAAATATAATAAATTTTATATTTATAAGACCTCTATAAATCAACATCAGAGATTCTGTAATACTTTCAGATACTATCACATGATAAATATAAAGAATCCTATGTATCCAAAATCTGATCTATGCAAAGAATGTACTAATGCATAGAAAGAACTTCAATATAAAACTCAGGAAGAAATTGAAAGTAAGATTAAAGAATATTTAGAAACTCCAATTCCAATACAAGGTTTTTGCAGATTAATCAGTTATAACCCATTTAATCTCGAAACTCAAAACCCATCCAAATTAATTAATCCTCTCAAAGAAAAATTGACGAGAATATTGTAGCTGAAACTGTAATACCACTTAATGTTACAGTGCAAAAAAAGCTGCAGAAACTATCAATACAACAAATATAAAGCTTGCTGAATTTCAACAAACTTATAATTCTACTACTGACTTGAAGATTCGGCATAATATAATAGAGCGCATAATAACTCTTAGGCAAATTTTACATGATGAGGATAATAAAGTTAAAAAATTAAAACGTTAAGTGAAATATCAACAAAAATGCAGGGAAAAATAAGCAAAACTCCTGCAAGAACATCAGAAGGTAATAAAATATGATTCACCTAGTCGTCTACCTTTTTTGGTTCAATATTCCAATTTACATGAGTATATATATAAAAGTATCAAATTCAGAGCTGTAGATAAAAAGAGAAGGAAAGAGATCATTAAAGTTAGAACCATTTGACATCTTCAGAAGGAATTTAATTCAAAGTATAATGAGTATCTTTCTTGCATCACTTTCAATAATTATTTGTTACCATCTCGATCAAATACTATAGCAGTAAAGACTCACTATCACTCAGCTGTTATTGCAAATGCATCTGTTTCACGAAATGAAAAAAATAAGCATGTTGATGAAAATTATTATCTTACATCTGTAAAAGGAGCAAAATAATTCATGGCTTTATTTCTAGCCTATTCTGTTATCGTTTTGCAAGACGATAAAGCTAAGATTCCTCTTGGTATTTCTGCAGTCAGAAGAACCTTTCAAACTATACAAAGTTTCTAAGAGCTAATTACTCTACCTGATCACGATTTTCTGATTGGTACATAGCAAAAACTTATTCTGTCAGTTTACTTACTCATTAATTTAGGTAATACAAATGATACTCTCTGTAATAGTCAACTTTCGATCTTTGTACGCTTATAATATCAGGTTGACACAAGTTCAGCCACTCATATAAGTGACCTAAATTTGCTAACTCGAGACAATCATTTTGACAGAATATTAAAAGCTGGCGATCAGGTTAAACTCATTTGAATTTTTTTAATTGATAGAGGTCCTGATGAAAATTCTCGCCATATGAAAAATATTCTTCAATATTGTAGAATATTCTATGCCTTTGATCTCAATTACTTTTCTGTTTGAACGCATGTACTGTGTTAATCAGCATATAACCTGTTAAACGTAATATGGCAACGCTTTCTTAAAACTAGCTGAAATAACATTGCCAATCAGTAAATATGGCTCCTATCTCAATTATTAAGGTTAGATAATTAATTCAAAACTTATAATGAAGAACTTTCATTATGCTGTTGAGGCTTTATGCTCTCTTTAAAAACGTAATTCTATCTATGAAAAACCAGTCACTACATAATACATTGATCAAAAAGACTCTCCTTTTGGTAATATCATATTTTCTGGATCTGAAAAAGAAATAATGGCGAATTGGCAATACTCTGATAATGGTTAGAAAGTCATACCAAAATATGTCAATACTCACTTGACATTAAGAAATGTGGAAATTCTTCTTATTGTTCACTTAAACATCATGAAGAAACAGCCATTTTTTTTGCGGAAAATGACAGATTTCTTTCACCTGTGACTAAAGGAAAAGATGAACATTTCCTGAATCTGCTACATATACTAGAATATTGTGATAAGCTCAAAATACCTGAATATGATGTCCATTGTTCTTCTATTAGTTCAAGCACTTACAATTGTCTCTGTTATTCTGACTGTAATATATACTTTTTAACTCTTTCTCTTGTTGCTTTACATAAGAAAAGCTAACATCTGAGAAAATGGGGACGACCTGTCAAGCAAAAAAAGCCACTTACCAATTCCTTGGATGATTTTTCCATTGCGTTTGCATAAGATGAACAAGTTCCAATTTTAAATGACTGAGAAGTACATTCGAAAGGTAAGTAAGGTGATTAAGGAAATAAAAAGATTGTTGCAAAGGATAGGTGAAGTTTAAAACAATGCAAAAGATAAGCGGATTTTAAAATTTAAGCGAAATTTTAATAAAATCAAACTAAAAAAATTAATCTAAATATTTAGACTAGATAAGTAGAATGTAAAAGTATATAATATACTTTCTAGTCAAATTAGAGATAAAAAAAAATGAAAATTATTATTTCTAGTATAAAAAGCTTAAAAGAAAGTTAATCAATTAGAAAATATATAAAAAATTTTATAAATTGACTAAAGAATAATATTGTTACCATGAAATTCTTCAACTCAGGATGGTCATGTTTATCAAGTCTATACTCAAAATTTCTAATTGCAGTCTACTGCGGTTAAGACGTTAGGATCTGCCTAACTCTTAACTTTATCAAATTTGTATGTTAGACTTAAACAAATCTATCAAGTATGAAGACTTGAAAGACGAGATTATGAATAATTTAATTAAAGAATTTGGATGACAAACTCAATTACAAATAATGTGTAGGGATCATGTCAGACTATATGAAGATATGAAGAGGTAGAAAGATATAAGTTTTAAATAATTTCTTTATTAATATTGAAACTTGTACTCGCAAAAGAGTTTACAAATCTACAACAGAGTTTTCAAATCTGCAAGAGAGTTAATTTACAACATAAGCAAAAAGTCTTATTTAAGGAAAATAATTTATCATGTGATTACAATTAGAAAATTATTCAAAATTGAA